TGATGAGGTCAAGAACATGCTTGCCTAACAAGTTAATCAATTCTTCACAGGTTGTTTTTGACAGGTATGAAGTGTGTCCACGTCCTTGGTTGGCATGAGTTTTGATATGATGAGATAAAAATGGATCAAACTGCCCAATTAGTTCTAAAATACCAAGGTAGTTCCCATTGTTCTGGCCTTAGACACAACGATGTCATTACTGCCTCGAAAAGCCAGCCGTCTCCCTCAAAGGAAAATGATTGTCTTAATACAACGTAACAAAATGTTTTTCCAGTATTTTCGTTGCTCCAGTAAGTTTTGGTGTAACCGCTCGTCAACTCGCCCAGCAGCAACACTACGTTGACATAATAAGGTCAAGACTGAGTTTATATATTTGGGACTTGTTTCATTTGTTTTTAAACAGTTGGTTACATTCTTCCAATCTGTAAACCCCTGACCAGAAAGATGTACACGGTCTGGCGAAAACAAAAAGCAAGGGAAAAAGAAAACACAGGCTGTGGTTGGAGAATATACGAGCCAGTCACGATCAACTACTTCTACATTAAAATTTGACAAAACACGTTTGAATGCACTGTTGTTTAAATACATGTACCGATTCACGCCAGAGAAGTCTCGTTTTGTTTCTGGATAGTCACTGGCCACATTCCGAAACTGGTTTGCTCCGCGAGTTATACACATTTCAAGCACATGATCCGTTATATCAACTGGAAGCACGACATCATTTGCTATTGTTTCTGAAATATTATCAGTTTTAGCATCAGCTAGCTCAGCTTCAGCAGTAAGCTCTTCTTGGTTGCTGTCTATTTGAGATGAAGAAGCTTCGCTACTACTCTTCTCTTTAACATGAAAAACTGAAATCTGTTTTGTTAATTGTTTTGGTTCTTCTTGTTCTTTAATTTTCCTATTCTCCAACTCCTTCGCTCGTTCCCATCCACTCTTTCGTTTTGACATTTCAAGATACTAATCCTACCAGACGCCGAGGGTAAACATGCACAAGAAGAGTACATTATGAAGAAACGTGGTAGGGCCTATGTTGTGGTAATGGTGGTGATGTTGCTGCTGCTGTACAGTTGTTGTTGTTGTTGTTGTTTGTTGTTGTTTTTGCTGCTGCAATGGTTTGCATTATATTATGTCGATTCTGGTCTCTATCAGCATCCTCAATATTGTATATAATAAGTAAAGTACTAGTTCGTATTACTACTACTGACTGAGATCAGAATGCGGTCATACTGCATGGCCACTGTCAAAATAAAAGATATCCAGTTGCAGCCAAAGCTGCAGTCTAAAAGACCTTCTCCCACACATACACATACGAACTCTCACTTTCCCGTTGTGGTTCTTCATTTTCCTGTTAGTATGAAGAAAAATTTGTTAGCCTAATTTAACACCTAGTTATAGCGATATATGAATAGCATTAGTGTTGAAAATAGCTGTTTGGCCCACCGTTGCTTAGGCTAGAAATATATATGTAAGTTAAGTCATAAGTCACAGGGCATTTACAAAGCGCCCACTCCAGAAGATCTGCTCTGAGGCGCTACA